GCCCCCGCGTTTTTCATCCCATTCACGCTGACTATCGGTTTGTTTGACACGTCTTTTTCTCTGCTTATTTATTTTTTTTTTGGGGGGAATTTTGTGACTTTTCGAGCCCCAGCTGATGAGGTAGCAGCAGGTTGACTCCTGGGTTGAGGGCAATGGACTCACTCGCTATATTATGGCTAACTTGAATCGTTTTTCCTATAATGCATTTTCTGTGTGCCCATGCAGGGGTGCATTCTGGATTTCTCCCTCTTTTTTAAAGCCATTTTCGTGACAAATTTAGCCAATTATTTGAGAGTAAAGGTACTACGTATGTTCTGATTATCAGGGAAATTTCACAACGAATTTAATTAATAAAATCACCACACGCTGCGTTTGTTAATATTGAAGATGTACAAAAAATTTAATCTTCAAGATAAGTATTTTCACGAAGTATCAAAGCGAATAACTCTGAGTTGGCGAATTTCAAGTTGACAATTAAAACCTTTAATATTAAAAAAATAAGTACATACGTTTCGGAAATTTACCAGCGAGCATCAACTTACAGTATACCGTACTTTATTTCTGTCAAAAGAAATACTGTATATACATTTTGCATGGATCAATTGCTGTATTGCAAGAAATGAGGGAATTGATTCAATGAGTCGTCACAATATAGTCGGAAAGTTATTGAAAAATTAGGGATTTATTGGTAAAACTCAAAAAATGAAATTTTAACTGNAAGTAATGAAGATACAAGTTGAACTGTAACAGTAAAAATGAAGCAGAAAAGTTTGTAGATGAAAAAAGTCAGATAGCCAGATAATGAAAATCTTGAGATACTTATTGAACTTGATTATAGAATAGAATTTGATTGCTTATAAATTAGAATAGTTTGAAGTTAAACCATCCCAGAAATTCATGCATTAATTATATAATGTACTGGACAACATTTCTTCCTTTTTTTCCATTGTGGCCCGCATAATGCTCTTCTACTTTAATGTGGCCCTTGGCCACTTCTGAGTTGGGCACCACTGCTGTACAGTATTCTAAAAATTGTTCTTGAATACATGTAAACCGTTAGATATTCAATACGAAATGCTGTACGATCCGGAACAAAAATAAACAAACCGTCAGTGTTATAAAATATTTTATCACCAATTTAATGATGTCTTCTTTATGAAAAAAAATTGTAGAAGTTGATGTTTCATGAGCACAATGGTGTTCTCATTAGTGCGGTAAAATTAAGAGGACATTTAACATTTTTATGCTACCTCTGAAAATTTTGATTCCACTCGAAATATTTTTCATCTAAACGCAGTCCAACGATTGCCGGCCTAAAAAAATGAAAAAATGACGGGAAAAAAGCTGTTACACCTTTGAAATTTTTTTAAAGCACCTGTGAAATGCATGCCACTAGTCAAAGTCCCACAGTTTGTTCCCAACCTTTTTTTATACCAACGAGATATAAAACGAATATCCCCCTAATCCCACGGATTAGTGAAACAAGGCGGAAACGAAACCATGAAAAAATACTGACCCCCCTCATTGAAAAAAAAGCCCGTTTGCGTGGGAACAGCAACAAAAGCAACGGGACAATTACGAGACATGAAAAAGAACCTGCCGGATTAGAAAAAAAACATTCTGTGTAGGTATATACAGCAACCAACAATCCTCTACGAAAACTAACCAAAAAATGCAACAACAAAAAACGAAATAAAAACAGATCAGTCGAAGGGTTCTCCACCTTTCGTCAGATGGAGGTGAAAATTATTGGGTTTTTCGGGTGAGTGGTAATTATCTTCGCAACCCCTGTTTGTGCTTTAACTGAACCGTCGAAATCCCGTTACCCTAATTTCATTTCTCGAAAATAATTCTAAATTTGGAATGATTCGATGAAGTCAGTGTTTTCATCAGAAATATTTCCTGAACAGGTGCATTTGTTTTTTTTTTAGCACGGAAATATTCTGGAGAAAAATGATAGTACATTTCTGTAATTATGATATTTATTTCAAGCTATTATAATTCTAAATTTGGCATGAATCGATTCGGGGTTTCATTGGAAAATTTCAGCTTCCATTGAAAATTATCAGATAAAAAATATGCACAAAGAAGATTATTTGGCATGAAAAAAAAAAATCGAGAAGAAAAATAGCCATCGATTTCCTAGCTCATGTCGCTTCCCGCTGGCTCCCGAGTAAAAATTACGTGATAAATGTTAACAGCATCAACAGCGTCAAATTACCCCCGGGGGGTTCATCTCCAAAAACACCCCTCTTCTTCCATTCTTTTTTTTCTCTCTTTCAGGATTTCCCAAGCAGGTATCATTAGTCACATGCCACGACGTCTGAATGAGGATCAGGATCATCCTTTTCCGGGTTCACCCTCCCCTCGCAGCCACAATCCTTCCATCAATCGGGATTCCAGCAGGAATCGCGGGGGGTTTTTTCCCAGGGGGTGGTTTTTCATCCACAGTGGGGCTAAATTTTCCGCGTTGGGGTCGAAGAAGTCATTAATCTGCGGAGTTAAAGCTGGTATATTGGGGTTAACTTGGCCTTTTTTTTTTTGTAGGGCATCGGCATCCGTTTGTTGGTGGATGCGGCGTATCATTGTTTACGTTGAAGGGAACGTTGTTCAGAGATGAGGGGAAAATGCTCGAAGTTTGAGTTTAGTCACACATGTCATGTCACCAGATAGGGTGACCTGGATTTTGGGGTTAAGGAATATTCAGGGCACATTAGCTTAAAAGCCGAAACGAACTCCTTTCCAAGTGGTTTAAAAGGGTGTACTTCGGAATAATCAGTTCAGATAAGTTGAGTAAAACCATCACCATTCCCACATTTTGTCGTTTTTCTCGCAAGAGTTGTCTTTTAAAATGAGGGCAAGTCGCATATTCAATATCATTCTGGATTTTCAAGTAAACTGAGAGATTGCTGACCACGTTGAATGAAAAATGCCCAGAGAGTTGATAAAATTGATCATTATTACGATTTTCAGAGCGGTTCAAATTTAATGGACTGGGTATTGCTCCTATTGAAAGATTTTTCTTCTTGTACAAAGATGACGCATGAGTTAAATGAATTTAGACCCCTACATTCTGATGAATTTGTTGCGAATAAGATATTGTTGCTGACATTTTAGAGGTTTGCAATTGAAAAGAACATATACAATATTTAATTGCGCTTACCTGGCACGATAACAATAAGTTGTGTACCCAACGATGTGAATGCCACAACTTAAAAAAAAATTAAACTTATGAATGCTTCCACCTCTGGAATATCTGCCCCAAAAGGCCAGAAAATGTCTCAAGATGAGGACACTTCCCCAAAATTTGCTGAAAAAAGGGTTAAAATTGCATATTTTTTGAAAACGATGAGGCTGTGTGCTACCATGAACATAAATTTACAGAGACCCCAAAATGCAGACAATTCAACTTGGGGACACTCAAACATTTAAAAAATTAGGCTCAACCTCTGGACATCTTGACACACTCCACACTTTTCAGCATTTCAAGACAAGTGGAAAATTTCAATTTGGCAAAATATTAATATCTCTTTAAAAAATTGACTTTTATATCCACATAAGTTACAATGAGTTAATCATAAATTTGCTCGAATTTAAAATAAAAAACATAATTTTATGCTAATTTTTTAGCATTCTCTATTATTTTTGAGTTGAGAAACACATTTTACTTGAAGCTTTGGGGATTTCTTCCCAATTTTTGATGAACTGGAGAAACAATTAAATTAGTTCCCATCGAAGTCTATGGGGAAACAAGATCCAACATGAAGACATTCTGAAATAGGGACAATGTCCAAGTGGCAAGCACCAATTGTGTCCTCATCTTGGGGTCTCACTTATTAAATATTTTTCAGTACTGGGTACATGCTACTTCTGTGCTTCACCTTCTAGGAATTTTGCTGCAAAGTACCTAATTTGTGCCAGTTGATTTGTTCTTTTTGACATCGAGCATGGCGAAGAGGTCAGATTCTGTGGACTGCCTTTGCACAGTTATTTGCTGTGTCTAGAATTCAAGAAAAATATTCAATTCTACATAAGGTTTTGAACATTAGAATTGAAAAAATATTTCCAATTGAAGTTCATGGGAAAATGTGATCCATTTTGGAGACATTTCCAACCGATGTACGCAATCCAAGTTTTGATCATGCCCACATTGTGGAGGCTTGCCATGCATTTTTTCATGTCCGTCAATTTGCTGCTATGTAGACACCTTTCTTTGACCAGAAAATTAACTTCCACGAAGTATCACTTATTGACAAGAATTCAGGGGCATTCCAGTGCTAAGGAATTTTTTTCAAGGATCCAACCACACTTTCTTCCCTGAAACAGATTCTCCTTGTTCCTGGAAACGCTTTTCAATTTCTTGTATTCGAAATTAAGCAGACAGGAGAAATTGGACGACACCAGATTTCCAGAGAGACACTGAAAAAGCTTGCTACCTGTCGTTCAAATTTAAAAATCATGAGTATTGCATAGTGCGAATTTCAGGTGCAGTAATACAATATGCAGTGGTAAAATAAGTGCGCTAAATTCCGCATCACAGAACCGTCAAGAAAAACTCGAATTCAAATCTAGAATCAAGAAATACCGTACTCGCTTCCACAGAAGCAGGCCCGCAAAAATCCGATTAAATGAGCACAAGAATGACAATTAGTTAAATTACAGCATACATTTTTTCCACATGATTTCTACGATCACGCTACGTATTTCAATATAAGTGTACATGTTCCGAACTTCTGCATAATTTCTTTTGCATTTTATATGATCAAGGGTTCACTTGTATGAATGGGTACGAGAAATTTGTCAATGCTGTCCCTGGCTGAATAGCTTATTCTGCGTTCACTGGAATTCATGTGCACATGGAGTCATTTTTCTTCATGGTTGTACTCATTTACCACTGGCAACACTGAACCAGTTTATGTTTGCCGATAGGAAGAACTCGAACTACAACAAAGGCTTCCGTTTTTCAAAACGTGAATCACCATTTACGAAATAAAAATCGCTTCTCTGTAGGTTTCACAAACGGGAATCCCGTCAAATTTTTCTTTTCTTCCTCGACAAAAAAAAAATTTAACGCGAGTATCCAAATGAATCGAACCGCAAAAATCCGCGTTGTTCATAACATAACCCTCGGTAGAAAATGCACCGAACAACCACAAAAACCAAACCGAGGCAAACCGTGTAATTCACTCGGTCGCTTCTGCGACTCATTTAAAATAACCATTAAGAGACAACTTAAGGCAAGGGCGAGGAAATTAAGAATTCGAATAATAATTATATATAGGATCACAAACGGCTTCCGGATTCTGAGATCAACCGAGAGAACAGAAGAAAATAGAAAAAAAGCACGTGTGCCAAAACCACCGCAGCACAAAAAAAAATTACAATCTTCTCGTGTTACCAAGGATAAAGAAGAAGGAATTTTACCGATCAGCCGATTGAGTCCAAAATCACAGGAGCTTTTCAAAATTTTTCTCGTCCTAATTTACACTCGCCGTCTCCACGAAAATTCCGTAGCCAGAACTTTTACCGAGGCACGGAAACGGTAAATTTCGCACGCCCAATTTCTTTCCCGTCACAAATACACAAGGGAAACACTCAGCTCTCACACACACACACAGAACACACGCACACACATAACAAGCGAGAACACTCGGTTCGTTTCCCCAACAAAAAAAAAGAACAATTCACCAAAAAATTCAACTATTCCCAATTGTGCCTAAATTTACGCCATTTTCAGGTCCTCGTTGCCGAGTTTTACTCGTTTCTCCAAAGGGCTCCTTTTCCCGAATGATGCTTCCGATCTGCGTTTCCTCTGCACCCGGCCAAATTCTGGAAAATACAAAAAGAAACACGACACATCAGTAACGAAAATTTCTTTTTAGATGAAGTTTTTCTCTTCAAATATAAAATAATTCCCGAAGTTCAGGAATTTCGCGAAGACAGTTATGTCTAAAAAAGTCTCGCAAGTGTGGAAATGGAGGTAATTTCAACCCACAGTATCGGTGTACAGTATTTCGCAGGAGCACCACGGACAAATTTTCCCCGACAGTGAATTTGTTGGTAAAACTAGTCAAATGTTTTTAAAATCGCGTCATTGGCAATATCTTTTTCCGTTCCGGCTCTTCAATTCCGATGGGAAACCAATGCTCCCATACTGTATTGTCTTCAGTCGTTATAACAAGAAGGGAGGATGCGGTAAACCCTCAATTTCTGAAGGAAACATTCTTACGGCTTGAGACGCAGCAGAAGGCCAATAATAAAAATCGTAAAAAAAAAACACAGGAGGCTTCCTCAAAATCCCACACTATGCGGTAAACCCTCAATTTCTGAACGAAACATTTATTCTTACGACTTGAGACGCAGCAGAAGGCCAATAAAATATGTAGTAAAAAACACTTAAAAGGCTTCCTCAACATCCTACACAGGGGTTAGGAAGTCTGACAAGAGGAACTTTCCATCAATGAAATCCTGTACTTTCAAATCTAACTCGAGTGAATACTTAAAAAAAAACTTGAAATTGCTTCGAGACGACATCCACCACAAGAAAAGCATCAAACGTAAAGGTGTACTTCAAACCTTACTCGAGCGCTATAAAATCTTTCAAAACATCGTGAACTGCTCTGAGACTATGTCCACCACAAGAAAAGCATCAAACGCAGTCAAGGTAAGTCATCAAGGCTCTCAAGATTTCATTCCCATGGGGTGAACATTTTCAGTGAAATCCGGCGGAAACTTCCAACCGAGACAAGCGGGGGAAGAGGAGGAAAATAAAAAGAACCACTCGAACGACTGACCGGAAACAGGGGCGTCACACAAGCCTGGCTGCGAATTTCATTTTCTTTTCTCCCCCCCCAAAAAAAGAACATTGGCTAGTCAACGAAAATTCAACCCAGTGGGGAAATTTACACGAGAGAGAAAAGGAAAAACTTGGTCGCGCGTGAGCGGAGCAAGAACCGATCCGTGGCGATACAAACACCTGCAACACCCTCCGACCACGTTTGGGTGTCTTTTCAACCAACCAACCCCCCCCCCCCACTTCATGTTTCTTATTTAGTGAATCTGGTCCATAGAAAGACAAGGTAGAAATCTGCTGTGCCAAGAAGACCGACTTCCTGCGCGTAGATTCATCACAGCTACGGGGTGTAAAACCGTTGAGAATCGCGCTGCAGTTTAAAAGGCAAGTGTATTTTCTTTCCCCGCTTTTTTTTGCACTCCCGCTCGACGTCTTCCTACTCGTGTTTCCGACTACCGTCTCAAAAATAAATATGATCAATTCGCTTCTGACGTCCGCCCAGATCAGAAAGACACGGAATCACCTTCCCAATTCATCATTCAATTGAGCAGCTTTCGGATACGAAAACTCATCAACGCTACTACATTACTATTTTTTCTGAATATGTTCCGCGAGAAAACCTGAACTCCGTCGTTAAAACTTCAATCGCCGAAGTGCGTCAAATAACTACAGGATCAAAATTTCCCTACCCGTTACTAACGACGAAATTCATACACTACCGACAAGAAGAGTTTTTCATCCATGAATTTCGATATGCCTAGTTCGGAAAGCAAATGAAAAGCGAAAACAAGGAGGGTTTTCGCAACCATTACACGATTTATAAACCCGACGAAAAACGCGGCCCAAGCAAAAAAAAAAAAAAATTGGTCCAACCCCCCCAAAAATAATGTTGCACATTTATAAGCATTCAAGATATTTCCAGCATTGGCTGGCTAAATCAAGCTTCCTCGCAAACCTTTTGAAGAAAATTACGGTATACAGTCATGAATAGACTTCCCGCTATATCCTACTCAAAATTCTACGACTTCAAAAATTCCCAACAAATCCAATGCAGTATTTAAAATCAAAGCACCCAAAACACGTAGGCAATCTAGAAGTAAAAAAAAACAACCTCCAGCGGGTTTAAAAAAGCGGGCGAAGCCCATCAAACCCCACACACACACACACAGCGACCAGTTTTTCGACTATGCCTTGCCCTTGGGAAGGAAGACACGGAACAACGCACACACCTTCCCTGAGAAAAAGGTTCATCAACCCACACACAGCCTAGAAAAGGCATTCCCCTGCTCAGCCCACGGCATCAGGATAAGAAAAAAAAAACTAGATGGTACATATACAGAGGGGAGGGATTTTTTGATATCAAAAAAACCCGCGGCTTCCGCGCGTGACGGCAGCAGCCATGTTTCTTTCCCTCAGGCGTGAGACTCACTCCCGCCCCGAAGAACGTTGACCCATGTGCTGCAACGACGAGCAAGCGAGAGAATAAGTGCCCAGAAAAGAAGAGGAGGAAAAAGAAAAAAATAAACCCAAGTTGAAGACGCACACCGACACACACACACACACACCGAAGCTCCGGTTTCGTAGTCACGCTTCAGTGACGGGATACACAACTTCTATTTCTTGCCGAACCTTTCTTATCTGGTCCTGGCTTTAAACCTAATGCAACCTGCTTTTTTTGTTGCCTACTCAGAAGCGACCCGTGCGGTGGGTTACGAAGGGAATGAAGAAAAAAAAAAACTACTCTTGGGTTTCAGGAGCCCGACCCGCAGTGATTAGGGACAGATAATTCTCCCTTCCCGATCAAAGTCGAAGCCCAATAATTTGCTCGAAAATCTCGGCTCGAGAGAGAAAAGAAGCGGCGAATCAAACATTAGAACCACGGACAGATTCGGGTCTAAAAATCACAGGTGGATGTACAACATAAATCTGATGCCATGCCCAGAACCTGCCAAGGCTTGGTTCGATCGGTTAATTGAGCATCACATAATCACGACGGTATAAAAAAAAATCGTGGAAAATTCGACGGAATCGAAGGTCAACAAAAATCTACAGGAATAACAACAGAAACGAGACTAACTGAGATTACAGAAATCACCGGAGTCGGAAATATAAGTGCAATATTCGAGACAAGGAAGCTACTGAACCATGTGGGGAAATTCCCAAAAAAGTAAGTTTTATATTATCACGAAAAACCCTCTTCCAGTACAGGACTACAGCGAAATATAGCTACGAAGAAACGTTCAGAAGCTTGAAAAAGTTGCATCATAAACGAAACTTCGTAAAAAATAAATTGAAATGCTGCACTGTAGTATACGGCTTCTGGAAGTGGATCAAAAACAAACTCGCTTCAACGAGATTGTACTGTAATTAGAGTAGTAGCTCACAGAAACCTAATATCAACAGAGAAATAACCGCAAATTTACAAAAAGTTCTACATGACCCGAGTCTCACTCCCAAACAAACCCCGTCAGAACAAAATTCATAACACTTTATGGCTCAAAATAGGCGCGAGGAAGCAGGAAAAATTATAAGAAATCGCTAACTGTACCTCGTACTGTATTCATTAAACCCGCAAGATCAACCAAATATCTCATGAATGCTCGCTGGTGTACGGAGACCACATGTCGAAAAATAATGCCTGAAATCACTTGCCAAAACTTGTCTTCCGGAACGGAATGCGCTCTTCTCCAAAAATGTGTGTCCCACGATTTTAACATCTGTTTTCCTCCCCAATACGACCTTCAAAACCCATCGCGTTTCTCTGACGAACAAATGAAGCATCGTACAATGCGTTCTTCCCTTTGCAAAAAAAAAGGGGCTCATGCCTCAGAGACGTCCACCCCGTTATCCTCACAAAAAAGGTCTCTTGGGCACCCTTCGCGCCACAGAGACACAAGGAGTCCCCCAAGATTTATTGTGCACCTCCAAGAGGCTACCCAACGGGACCCACAACAGAACACCCGGCGGGAAACCTAGCGGACCCACGAAAAAATTCCGGCCCCCGTGGACGGGCAAGCGGAAAAAGATGGGTTTCGCTAACTGCTTCTTCTTTTCTTCTTCCTTCCACGTCCCTTCAGGGGGTGGTTTCCGGCTTGGGGAGAACAAGAAGAAAAAAGCGGGTCCCGCTAGCGCAGAAAATATTCGCAACAAAGCGCGTCACACCTGCGACATGGCATAGGGAAGAATAGAGCATCCGCAAATGCACCGACAAAAAAAAAGGTGATGGGTAACTGTGCACAAAAAATCTTTTCGAGCCCGTTAGCAAACCTATTCCAAGGACACGACCGCGAAAATGAAAAGGAACCTCTACCTTTTGTTGTCAGGACACGACCTAACTCAAGCCCTCGTTCGGGACCAAAATCACGACGCGATTTACAGGGGGGAAATGTACAGTAACTCCAACAGAACGCTCGAAAGCTAGAGGGAATTCAAGGGATAACACATTACACATGATGGAAGCGATAAGTGAAAAAAGACACTCATGGGGGAAAGTATAATTAATAATGAACACTCCTAGTATTTTTTCAAGCGTCCGACATGGGCATTACATACACCAATTTTTTTCTACGTGAGGAGCCACGAGCTGCACCCTTTCGCCCACACGGGATTCGTCTATTGAACAACCATTGGACCAATCGTTCCGTAAAATTACGTGATCAACACTGAAAACATTTCACACCGCACCGAGAAATTGTTCGAAAAGCTGCTCATTTTTTCAATTTCATAGACTTTCCGACGCGAGGACAGCTTTAAAATTGGCTAATTGAAAACAAACACAAAAATCTGCTTGATACGCGATGCAGCTGTACGCACGTCGAGATTCTCGCGCACGTTGAATAAATGGCACGGGAGCCACAGGAAATTCGTGGGAACGCTTTCCTAACTGCTTTAGCTGACAGTCAAAATTTTACACCTACGTATATTACATTCATCGAAGAGACCGATTTCGGTCACTTGAAACTCACCATGAAGGGTAGATTGACGTAAGTGTGAAGAACGGATCGTAAGGTTTTCCGAACACGGCTTATTCTCGGAAAATCGCGTTTCCGAATCCAATTCTACCATGGACACATCGCCAGAGGGCGCTAGTCGGGACATCACATCCGTGTTCTGCAAACTACATAAAACAGGAAGAAAACACATCGCGTCAAAAAACCGCCTACGTGGGATTCTATAAATATTTGCATTACCTGATGGTTTTCAACGGCGTCGACTCAGTCTTGCTCGGACACACATTGGCGTTCACGTCAACTTTCACCCAATTCATGCGGTGATTCGGCACGGACTTGCCAGACTCGACATCAAAACCCCACTTGTTGCGGAACTCGCACACGAGCTCGCCGACGACGATATTGTAGTTGTTCTCCGTGTCCTCTTCGTTCGATCGACCGAAGAGACACCGACGCACTTTCGAAACATTCCCCGAGCTCGGTCGACGGATGACGTTATTATTATTGTTGATGTTTTGCTGCATGTTGAGCGATGCCAGCGCGCGTTTTGCAAGAGTCGCCCGACGCGGCGACCGGAACACGGATTGCGTGCTCGGCTGCGTTCCGGTTTGAATCATGACGACCGATAGTTGTTAACAAAAAGAATTCAAGTGATACACTACCACGGAGATGAATGGCTTTCGTTTTGCACTGTCACAAGGATCGTGTCTCCACACAATATTCCTACACGATAAAAAAGGCAACATGAAGGAGAGATTCATACATAGAGGAGTCTGAACGACCACTGATTCCCGCCCAACAACACCACGGAACACATCGAATCTCACAAGACCTAAGCAAGTTATGACACGGAAGTAAATAGAGGGAGTTTCAGCCTCATCCAGGACGAATTTCTGGTAGTCTTTCGAAGTAGACAACGAATTATCACGGTAAATTTCGCATAATTTCTGGACACTGTCTTCGACCGCACCCTCCGAACGCTGAAGTCGGACTGACACCACAGCGCGGGCAGCGACAGAACGTAAGGGAGAGCGCGCGCTCAGGAGCTAGCCGCGGACCGCTCAGACAGGCACAGAGGAACAACGAGCGCGAAGCCGGCAAGTTCGGCACTCTCTCGTCATATACATATCCCTCCCTCACGCAGATACTAAGAGAGTAACCCACCCTCAAAAAACACAGGCGCGCTTCCTCGACGTGGCTCCGGTTCGCGCCACTAGGAAAATGCGCGCGTAAACCGCGCACACTCGACACAGTGTTGCTAGCATGTGCACCAGGCACCCAGGGTTGTCGCATGATCCAGAACCACCCGGCTTTAAACCACCGTTCCCCCAATCTCTCAATGCCCCAGTCTCGACTGTATACGGATCGAACTGGAAGGGAGTTTGCACACACTACCACCAGCCAAGGCCGAAAATTTGCCGTGATCTAATTCTCCCCGGGTGGAAGCGAAACTTGACCCGCTTGCGACGCGAATACAACTGCTGTTTACGCACTGCTCCGCAAACCCATGAAACCGCAAAAAACTGCGCAGCGGAGATTCGATAGCGACACTATCCAGAGCTTTTGTTATCTAGCAGTGGAAAAATAAGGGCCCTCCACGAAAATCTCAGTTGCACGAAACCACTCATTTTGTACCCTGCATGCAATCTGCAGTCATTACGCGAAAGTTTCTCCTGCTTCTGATGTCAAAAATAATTCCAACTAATGCGACAAATGATTCAGTCAATATTCGGTTCAGGACTTTTGAGCCAGGCTAATCCCCTAACAAACCAAGGCATCATTCTGAGCTTTCAGGGCATGAAAGGAACCTCCAACGTCTAACCTTAACACACCCAACCCTCGCGAATTTTCATAATTCCGCACAACCTTGTTCGGCTTTCACATGAGGTAAAATTAAAAAGAAAGAGAGAATATTGACAAGAGTAATTCATTCCGAAGTTGGATTATAACCACCAGTGTGACGGATGGCTCAATGTTCGTGATGCAAACTACGATGTTAAATTTTCAAATTAAATTAGATGCAGGAGACAAAACCTCCAGCAGAGGGCAGGGATTCGGAAACAACCTTACATTTAGATGGTGCTTCGAAATTTTAGCATAGTACAGTAACCCGTTCCTGATGATCGAAAAAAATTACGCTTTTCCATGCAATCGGACACTTGTACACGAAGTTGTTCCCGTGCAATAACTATATATTTTCTAAAAGCAGCACTTCCAGTCGATGCAAACGGCAGCTTCCCAAAGTAATGAAATCAATTTCGCCATGTTCAGCACCTTAAATTAAGGAAATCCATCGCCGTAACATTTTCACTGTACTCCACACATAGAAATGGCAGATTCTGTTCTGGCAGATTCAGCCCGAATAATATGCATATATTTCGACCCACCTCAATCGATAATTTACCCATTAACGAAATAACTTCAGGGTCGCCTACATGCAGAACACTATTCACATCAAGTGCAATTGTAACAAGACCACTGAGGAAAGGTTAATAAACACGTCGGAAATACTGTACCAAGTACCGCATCCGATACGAGGGTTTGATGCAATGCACAGTTTATCCCCAGACGCCCGTTCTTATCAAGATAGTACAGGAGGCCTACAAACGAGACCTCATTCCGAGATTTACTCCAGCGCATCAGCCTTGACTTCACGCCGTCATGGCAAATATTTAATTCCAGAGCTGCTGTAAGGGGGAAAACGTTCACAGGTGCACCACTTCATTTCATTTTACAACACCAGGGGAGAAACCGCGACGCGACAAAGCTTCCTCTCGCGTCTACCTCACTCTCCCGACTCGCGAAACTTCTTTCCTTCGAGTGCGAACATGTTCGCGTTTCCAGGCGAGCGGGGTTTTTCCTCGGTTTTGGCGCGAGAAATAAAAACGCTTCGCCAGAAGTCGGTGCTTATCTTGATTCGAGTTTTCCAGAGAAAAATTAATTACAGGGATGCGTAAATACGAAAAAAGGCGCGTTCCCCGAAGAGTGTAGTACGGACTACGCGTGAATCAGACGGATCTGTTCGCGGCCCAAGGCTACGGAAAGGTACCCGAACACCACATCACTGATTTATTTTTTCCCTCATGTGCTTCTCTAAAAACTAATCAAAATCGTCGTTGGAAACACCCGCGCCACTGGAACATTCGGGTAAATCACTCCAAGACCTTTCCAAGGCTATTCTGTCCAAACGAATAATCTATTCACAATATAGAAGTATGAAGTATCCGTCAATCGGACCGACATCCTACTCCTCCGATGCGAAAATGAGCACTGATACCGGCGAATGTGAGAGCAAACCTAGGCTTGCCCTGCAAGCCGGAGAGCGCGCGCGCAGGGTTGCAACAAAGGGATTTGGTGGCGCGGGAAGGGCGTAAGAGACTGCACAGTACAGGGGCAAACACAATGCCGCAACACTGGCTGCTCCCCTTCACCGCTTGGTGCCGCCAGAAGGCAGTTTCATTGCTTGGAGCTTGGCGTCAGAAACAAGCAGCGACACCTATTCTAAACTACCTTGATCTGCTTCTTCAAGCTTTTGAATTCACTTTCTTGAGGACACTAGACGCCCGTCCGTTGCCCGTCCGCGAGAGCACAATTTGTATACACTAACAGTATTTATTGGGATGATTATGTTTTGTCATCTATGTCCTTCTATGAATGAATGAATGAATGAACAGAAAAATTTATTTGCCACTTTTCAGCATTCACAAGGAATAACCAGAACTCCCACATCCAAACCCCCTCCCCACCCAACCCAACTCCCCCAAATACATTCAATCATTTCAAAGCATGAAACAAGGCACAAACAAATAACAAAAATAAAAGAGAACACACTCCCCAAAATAAAACTGGACATCCTACACATATGTTGCATACACCCACCTACGATCAGGGTTTACTTGAATTTTCTAGACACTCGCCAACAAATATTGTTCCTCCCGTGTTCGGTGATCTACTATTCTGGAAAGGCCATAAAATAATTCGTGAATAAATTTAGGGCTTTTAAAAAGCCTGTTTCTGTATGAGTTTTAGTTCAATGAACAATTTAGAGAGAATCTTTGATGAGAAATCATATAAGGCCAAAAAATTTTCTTGATCCTTTAAGAGTTCTGAAAGTGTCTCTTCATTGAATTTCAGTAATTTTAAATCTTTTGTAAGCTGATGTCTATCTCTTTGAAATGCTGGACATATGTCCTTCTAGGACTAGGTTGTTACTTTGGAAATTGGAATACTGTACTGTACTACAAAAAAATCACCATTGAATACTTTCGCTTGCAGTGGGAAAAACAGTGGAAGTTTTATCCAAAAGAAGGGAGTCATTCCTACATCCCTAAGAAAGTGGTGCAGATGTGGAATTGAGAAGGAAATTGTTTTTGAAATATTGTACGTATTCAGTGATGACTGATGAGTCAGAAACTGCTGATGCATCGAACATGCAAATAAAAAAGACAACCAATTAACTGTTTGAAAAAATTCGAAAAATTTTCGGGATTTAAATAAGTGCTTAATAAAATACCGGAAAGGTCTTATCATCTAGTGGCTTGTGCCCTCCTTGTTATAAACAACCGCTCACAGATCTTTTAAGTTCATTTGGGACTAGCATCCATCTTAATGGATCTCAAGGAATTATTTCAAGATCCACCATATTCGCAAATATCATTATTTTTATTATTACTTTCTTTATTCCAGTATCCAGGAAGGCTTGCACCAAGATTTTTTCTTTTTAACCCAACATTTGCCGAAAATCATATATTTACTTCTCACCTCTTTTCATTGAACATGACTCCATATTTGGGACGTTTTTCTTGCTTGATTGAAACGAGTGACTGGACTGAAACTTATTTGGAAACTTGTTTTACTTTTGTAGTAAGATGGATAAATGAGATGAACTCCCCTCTTTTGGCAGTGCGCAAGACTTCAGAGAAATGTTTCATAGACAGTAAAATCTCATTACAATGAAGCAACTGCTGGGACCTGTAAAATAGCTTTGTTGTCCAAAAAATTATTACATTATATACTGAGTTGCTGAGATGCACATGTAACTGGTGCTTTTACCCTGTCACTATGTCAGAATTAATGTCTGCATATTAGATTAAATTTTCCAGTAAAAATTCCATAGGAGCTTAATTTATTGAAACTCCAGTTCATCAAAAATTAGGAATAGACCCCCAAAAAATTGAATGACATGCGCTCCTCAGCTTAAAGGTACAGACTGTGCAGAAGAAATCCCCACAGAATCTGATCTTTTGGCATCAAAAGTACATTAAAAAGCTAAGAAAAAGCACAAGTCTTGCTTTACTCTGCACAAATGATGGACATTACAATGCTCCAAAATATAAGAAACACTACAAAGTTAATGTGTTGAGGAAATTTGTAATACAATTTACAATGAAATTCGTTTTTTGAATATAAATACAGTAGCTCCATTTGTTCAAGAGATATCCAAATTTTGAAAACTTAAAATTTTATAATTTTTCTAGAAATCTTGGAAAACTATCTGTGTATGAGGATATTGTTCAGATGCTGAGGAAGATTTTTTTCAAGTTTCAATTGTCCCCCAGCTGAATCATCTGTCAAGGCATCTGTATGTTGGGGTCTCACTGTACCTTGACTCATCCAAAATTTTGGCTCTTGAACAGGACTCTAAAAGCATAACTTGGTTAAAATGAACTACTGTACTGTATCTGTGATGACAAGATTTGTTATGAACAAGATTCTTGACATAATGATCTCATCATGTCACACT